CTCCTGTACAGCAGGGATATTTGTTCACTGGTGATGGCCTTCAAAACACCCGTCCATTTGTGTCAGAACCCTGTGAGCAAGTTAAAAGATCAACACCCCATCTGTCTCTCCTGCAAACATAAACACTCAGGGACTCTCCTCAAAAAGGAAAGCTGAAAAAGAAATTAAAAATGAAAATATTAAAATAAAAAAAATAAAATAAAAATTAAAAATAAATTAAAATTAAAAATAAAACTATTGATATTTTAATTAACAAACATCAGACACTGCAAAACGTTAAAGAGAAAGTTGTGGGCACAAATACCCTTACATCAGCATATCATTCATCCTGGACTGAATTACTAGAACAGTGTTTTATTACAAAATTCTTCTGGTTACAATTCAGAATAATCAATTTTTGTGAAAGAACACATTCCATAATACTGTAGGGCACAGTCCTTAGCAGAACCAGACAGCCTTACCTGTGGTAAACTGAAATTTAAAATCCCTTCAAAATAACCTCACACTGTCTGGAAGCACAAAGCCAGAGCCCACAGTAACAAAGGTCAGTTTTTTAATAATATTTACTCTCAAAAAATATTAAAAATATTGTAAGATTGGAACAARAGCAGTTTGCTCTCAGAAACTCAAGAGTCACAGAGCATGTATCATTTAACATGCACAAGTAAGTATCTATGCATCAAATACGTGGGGCATTGTCAGTTAATGCTGAGTACAGAAACACAGTTTTATTATTGTAAAAAAACCCAACCAAAGAAACCCAAATAAGTAGTGATTTTGCATCTATTATATTTATTATAAAAAAAGTTTAACAGATATTTCTCTTTTAAATGAAATTGCAATATATTACCACTTTTGTTGTCTGAAAGAACTCARTCCATTCCAGCTGACACACCTGTAAAATCAGCAGGCCATAAAATTATATCAAGAACTACAGATGCTTAAACATTCTGTTCACCAAAATCTAATCAGGGAAAGGCTGCACCACAGAAGGAGCATCACCACATCAAATAGCATGCCTGCTTTATAAATACAGGGACAAAATGCTGGAATTTACTGGACAATTTATCTTGGAACACAGTATAAGGAACACAGTGCCAACCAAGCCATAACTCAAGTCATCTTGGTTTTTCTGTCTTGGTTTTGAGAGACAAGTGCT